TTTGAGCAACAATTCCGGCGAGCTACGGCCTCCCAAACCACCGGACATAGGTACTTGTAGAAAGCCCTTGTCTTCCTCTTCAATTCCATCACAAGAACTCCTCATAACTCCTAGTAATCCGGCAGATACAAGTGTCAAAGTTCGGTGCCTAAAAATTTTCAAAAAGCCGAAATCTTCACGTCCAGCCACCAATCTGATCGGAACACCCCACTAGCATGTTCCCTACCCCTGGACGACTCTACCTATGCCAACAATTTGAACCAAAACACATGCGAAAAACCAGCTTCAAAACACTGGAATTCTCTGTCCCGACTGGCGCAATGATGTCCGAGAAAATGGATGATTCCGGCGCCGTCCGGACGAACCCAGGTGGCGGACCACCTGGGCTGGGTGCGCCTTCACCTGGCGCACCTAGCCCAGCCATGGGCTTCCTCCAATTTGGCCTTAATCAACAGGAATTTGGTTGGAAGTTGCTAAATTCTTTTTAGAAATTGAAGGAAAACAGGCAATTCAAACGTAAATTTTGTGTTTTATGAAAATGGAATTGCACTTCAGGTCCTCCAATTTTGAAGGGGCCGTGTTTTGTTAATTTAGGTTTCAATTAGAACAAAAAAGTCCAAAAACTTACCCCAGTGACAATATTTCTAAGTGGCTGAAAGTTGAGTGACCGTTTATGCAAGTTTCGAACTTCAGTGACCATTTTGTTATTTTGATGTAACTTCAGTGACCATTTGTGAAATTAACCCATACTTCTTTTAAAAAAATAAAATAATTTTTACTTTAAAGAGAGAAGCAATTTTTAATGGCTGGCATAGAGATTGCTTGGCTCGGCCCTTAAAGCTACGAGCTCGGCTCGTGGCTAGTGGAGCGAGCTCGTGGCTAGTGGAGAAACGAGTCACGAGCTCATGAGCCGAGCCGGCTCGTGGCTCGTTTGCTCGTGGGCGAGCTCGGCTCGGCTTGCGAGATCACGAGCCGAGCCTACTCGGCTCACGGCTCGTTAATTTTTTTTATTTTTTATTTTTAGCTTTTCTTAGTTTTTTTTTTAATGTCTCGCTTGGCTCATGCTCGGGCTCGTCTTTTGACGAACCCGAGAGGCTCGTGGGTCGCTACAGTACTAGTCGAGCGGTCGTGCCGCTCAGCTCGATTGCCACCGCTAGCAAACCTACTGCATAATGTTACTACTTACTAAGCCTATGTTTGATATGGATTAAAATTAGATTTTTACTAAATTTTGATAGAAGTTAATTAAATGTGTGGATGAAAAGTTGTGAGACCTATAAAATATGTGGCTAAAATTAACAATCTTGCTATACGTACATATTTCTTTATACCGTGATTTATCGAATCTAACTTGGCACAATTTCACACCACCTTTCACATTTCACACATTTAATCCAATTATCACCCATCCGCCACATCATTCATATATAAAGGAAGTGGTAAAGGAGGTGGTACAAATGACTTAACTCTAAAATTAATTGTTGATTTTGACTTAGATTAAAATTAAAATTTTAATCCATATCAAACGGGGGCTAAAGTAATGTTACTCGTACATAATTATGTACAAATTAGTTTACAGGTTGATGATTTGAATGAGGTTCACTAAGTTTATTTTATATCATTTTTTTAATATAAGATTCGCCAACTTTATTTAAGTTCTTTTTAACTTTCTCTTTCACATTCTCAATCTATAAATCTATTTGTAATTTATGTACAAGTAACATTAATCATGTTATTATTCCCCTCGCAGGACATGCATAGCGGCTAAAATATTATCGTTCACTTGCAATTTCAACTCCTTCCAAAAATACACACACAATCTCTCATTCCCTCTGGGTTGATTACCTGCTCAGAGTAAGCAAGAAAAAAAATGTCTTCACTTCAATTTAGTACGTATATCTCTGTCTCTCCTTCTTGCCAACCAATTCCATTTTCCGATCACAACAACTATTTAATTCCAGTCAACCTTAATGATAAAATCAAATATTTAAAAACCCACAAAATTTTTCATTCAAGAATCACTTGCTCTGCAAAAGATGCTAAGGTAGTCCAACTTTATAATATGGTGTTTGAATGATTTGAGTTCTATGAAAAGTTTAAGCAATTGGGCTCTGAAGTGAAAAGTGTTTCTGTGGTTCTGCTTGCTGGAGGAAAGGGCAAAAGAATGGGTGCAAGTCTCTTTAGTAATAAAGGAATGCACAATGTTATAAACTATAAACTGAATATAATTGAGAAAGAATTGCAGAAAAGGATAATACGCAGGTTGCGGTTGCGGTTGCGGTTGCATTTGTATGTTGAGTGGTTCAATGTTAATTTGAAATCAATTGTAAGAGGGAATCTTCCGAAGTTGATTTTTTAGCTTCTGTCTTTGCTTTTCGAAATTACAATTCGATAATTTTGCAGTGAAGGAAATCGTCGTATTTTGTGAGCCTTCTCATCTTCGAAGGTTTGAAGATTTTGCATACCCTCCTCCGCCTCCATCCCAAAAATTCAAGCAATGCAACAAAAACAAATGCTATGCAATGTGCTAGTTTTTAGTTTTGGCTTTTTCAGTGATTCAAATGTAAAAAATTATTTTTTAGCTATTTTCTAGATGCCAAAGATAGTATTCAAGTGGACCTCAAATTTGCACTACCTGGGAAAGGAGATTCAGTGTGTGTTTGGTAGGAATTTTTTGAGGGAAGAATTGATTTTGAATAGTAATATGATGGGAAATGTGTGGTTGAAAAAGAAGATAAGATTATTGATGTGATAAAAAATATTATTTTATTGAAGAATGTGTGGTTGAAAATGAGTATGGGAAATATGTGGTTGAAAAAGAAGATAAGATTATTGATGTGATAGAAAATATTATTTTATTGAAGAATGTGTGGTTGAAAATGAGAATTGATTTACTGTTGAAAATGAGAATTGGTACCAAACATAGCCTCAGTATTTAGCGATCTTGATTTTGACCGACGTTGCATAAGTTTTAAAAATACTTATCGCTTAATGTTAAAATAGTACATTAGTTGCTACTTTCTACAGATGTTATTTCTAACATCTAGATTAGCCCGTAAAATACTTTTCTTTCATTGAAACGATAAAATGCATTTTTCTTAAATCGAATGAATGTCTTATCGTGATGTGATGTGACAATGTACACAATGGAATTATAAAAAGGACAAATTTATCAAGACTAACAGCTTGTCTGAGCGTTCTTTTCTGCGTGATTATAAGTGATTTTTGTACCGTCGACTTGTGCAACGGTAAAAAAATCAAAGAAGTTGCAGAATTCCCGTGTCAGAGAAAACGGACAAAAAATCAATTCTCACTTTTCAGAATCCGCACCAGACAGCCCCTAAGGCTTTATGCATTGTTAGTGAGTACCTTTTTGTAATTTGTGACAATTATATATCTTTGATTATAACAGACGTTTTTGTGCATCAGGCAATCAATTCAATGTAAAACGACCCCATTCTTTTACTGCTTATAAGCTTAAAATGTTTAGTTATAAGGAAATAAGCAAGTTCTAAAATATTTAATTTTTGTTATTGGTCAAAAATGAAAATAAGAGAGTTACTTATTTTGATAGTAAGGGAAGAGTAACCTATTACTCACAAGTCAAAAGTACGAGGAAAAAACAACTTATTCAAACGTATGGAAACAAAAAAGTGCTAGGGAATTATTGAGAGGAATTACCCGAGGCCCAAGCCCACTCCACCAGGCCCAAGTTTGGTGAATTTATTTTCTTCCCACAATCGATGTGAGACTTGCTTGCCCCAACAAAAAGTTAAGCCAATTTATAAATTATCAAACTTCATTTTCAATCACACATTCCAATGAAGTTTATTTCGCTGAATTTATTGAGAGATTTATAAAACCTTCGAGCTGTCAACTATGTTATCAAGCCCGACTTGCTCAAGAAAGGCTTTGAACTCGTTAATAGGTGATTCTTCATTCTCGGGGCTAGTTTATGTACAAGTCAAGTGATTTGTTGAACTTTTAACCTTCACCTGAATCACTTTCTCAGCATCTGTAGTTCATATAAATGATTATTCTTAATGGATGTGAATTCAAATTTTTTAGATTCTGAAAGAGAACTAAATGATTGCCCAATCAGAGTGTTGCAATGGTTTAATACTGCACGTATGACAATTGATTATGTGCATCAGTGCATGTGTTTGCTAAGCTTATTTACATAGTTTTGTTTTTAGTATAGAAGTATGTATATAAATAACTTTTTCTTAGTCGGAGTGAGAAATATGTCACCCCTCTACTTCACTGTGAAAATAAATAACTTTTTTTTTAACTTATAAGCGAGAAAGAGTAGCCCATCTAAACATATTTGGCAATAAAAAAGTTACTTACAGAAAGTAAATTTAACACTCTCTTGGCCGAACATGTTATGATGGCCAAAATGTTGCAACATGGTTCCAACGTCGAGATGGCATAATATCCTAGAATGTTTGTAAACGAAATACGGATTCATTTGCCTTTATGTGATTCGTGTCCTGATTTTCCGTTGGAAGAGCAGTTCCAAGATATAATTTTTGAATTTTCTGAATGATTTCCTTGTTCTGCAGGGAAGGTCTTGAAGTCATTGACGATGTATCAATTGTGGAGCACCTTAAACATCCTGTATACATTACAGAAGGATCCTATACCAACATCAAGGTAGTGAAATAATTTTATGAATCATCTGAATTTTCTTAAATCATCTTTTCCTTCATTATTTGATATATAAGATAACAAGACCTGGAAGACACTTTGCTTCAGTTTGTAGCAGAAATTAACGTACTAATACTGCAGCTGCTGCTGCATAACTTGCAGGTTACCACCCCTGATGATTTGTTGTGTAGCTCACCTATGTAAGGGAGTGTTTGTGATGAACATCTTTCTTAAACATGATTAGCGTTACAAGCACTTCGAGTAGAAGTCACCGGTAAAAGAAAAGTGTTCTCAATGTGGACAACTATCTTATGGGTGACGTGACTCGATGAAACCAGTATTCCACTCCCTCATTTCACTTGTATTGATCCCATAAATGGCTGGATCTGAAGAAATGCAGAACCATAACTGTAATAACTTACATCAGTTCTCCTCCACTGACCCTCATATTTATAATTTTTGAAAAAAAATGGCTCAATTAAGCCAATAAATACAGAAAATAATTATAATAAACAAGGGATAAGTTGAAAATCTCGAAACTTTTACCCTTCTCTATCATCTTCTGAATCTGTTGCCAGCTCTTGATTTTGCACATTCTCCAAACCACGAAATACGTCCACTTCTGTGCACCCCGATGGGGGAGCCTTGTTTAACCTGGTTTAACAAATATGTTTAAAAGCTTTTCTTTGAAAAATAAAAAACAGATTTTCTATATACAGATGTTGAAACAAATGCAATGGCCTACCTTTCCACTTCTGGGAGGTCTCGTGTTATTCCAACAGAAGAACCCACTGCAGCCACCTGCTCCTGATCCTGATTCATATCCACTGATGAAGAAAGCGAAAAGAGTATTAGGGAAAAAAAATCCAAGAAGAAAAGGCCAATTTCATCTTGATAAATTTGGTCCAAATTATAATGCTGTCACCTTTCTTAATAGCTCAGAGATCATCATTCATCTATATCTTGATTTCTACCATTCATAAGGGCAAGAAGAATAATTTCATGATAACTCTTTAGGGTAAAAATCCTACAATAATGTGACTTAGTGAGGCTATATATAGTGTGATTGAAATGCTATAACATCCACCGACAACATATTAGCATCTCTAACAGGAGTAAAAATCCTATAAATATGTGACTTGTACTACACTGAGTTTCTCCAAAAACAAAGCTCCATAGAATGCTTCTGAAAGCCGAGTTTCAAATTTTTATCAAATTAGCATTCAAAACTCATTTTGGATTACACAGAGCTGATTCAAACTAACACCTGTATTCTCTAGATGCCTTAATATTCAAATTTATTCCTTTGTTTTCTCTAAAAATTACAGATTTACACCTACTGCTATTAGAGCTGTTAAAACGCAACTGGGATTAAATACCAAGAAATTAAACCTAATTCTCCATAAATTGCAAATCTTAAATCAATTATCTTGCATAAGATTTGATTACGAGTCAGATAACTCACATATTATGTTCGTTGAAATTGCTCGCAAAGCTACTGTTATGCAACAAGCTTGGAGAGATGGGATAATCATCGTTCCTCTTAACAGTGTGATCCTTCTGGGGTGCCATTGCCTCTTTAATCTTCAAAGCATTGATCTCATGATTCAGCTCATCTTCCCAATGCTGCAAGGGAAAATCTACAGAATTCAACGATTCCATTTCATTTTGATGGTCTATGCCATCCTGAGGCAGGACTTGATTCTTTTCAGGTTTTAAACGATTCAATGATCCAGGAGTGCCTTTCTCCATAGCCTGTAACCATGCAGTTTCTAATCTTTGCTCACGTATTATAGACTCAATTCTCTGCTCCGGAATTTCTGACTTGTTCATTTTCGAATTGCTAAGTTCACCACTTTGAGCAGCAGAGGCTCCAGTCATATGATCTTCAGACTTATTAAAGCTTCCTCTTGATACCTTCGAAGGCTCCCGACGTGAATCAAGATCAATATCACCTTCAATTTTATTCAAGCATACTGATTTGTTTTCCTGGTTCATGATAATGGTTGTGCCCATCTGCTTCTGACCAAAAGAATCTGGTAACATGATGATCTTGACCTCCACATTTCGTCGTAAAACTATTTCAAACGAGTTTGTGATGCTGCTAAGAAATCCTTCTGCTCTTGTTTTAATATTATTATCCACAAATGCAATGTAAGCAATAAAACCACCTGCAAACAGAAGATATAAGACCAAGGAATACTAAAGAAAGGATCAAGATCTACAAGGTTTAAGTCATTCAGTAATTTAACGTGTCATCGCCTAAATCACATCACAAAATATGCTGGGCTTAAGACAACTTTCAGATAACTATGATTTCCAAGATACATCCATGGTGAGAAATAACTGCTTAAAAAGACAGGACTTACTGCTGTTTCAAGTGCCAAAGAAAAGAGAGTAGATATAAGCAAAGAAAGAAAACATATATAGCTGGTTTAGCACTGTTTACAATCTATTTATAATTAGTCAAACATACTTTTTATCCCCACATTCATGAGACTCACAGGTATTACCCACTTATCCATCACTTCTATTTGTTTATAATTTAAACAGATTATAATCAATTCCCAAACATGCACATATAATTTAAACCGATTGTAATCCACACAATCAATGGTTCCTGAATTTCTATTATCAAAATGCTTACCCTTGACTTCAGATATTGACATGAGCTGTCCGTATGAGTGAAGCAGTTGTCTCAGAGTCTTGGAATGGCACTTCTCAATGCATTGCAACCAGATATCAGTCAAAACATTCGAGTCCATGCATCTTGATGTAGGTTTCAATGATTCCTCATTGATTAATTGGCTTTGATTGGGATTGGGATTGAGATTGGAATTGAAACCGGCAGCATCAGTCAGCAGAAGTGGATCCTCTTTGCTCATTACATCTGACCGAGCAGCTTTTAGAAACGATGTGGGAGACCCTGATTTTTTATGTGCCAACTGAGAATCCGATCTACAGTTCAGTGCAGTAGTTTCTCTAAACGAAATTGCATAGTCATCGGTTGTCCTGGAACTCTGTCTTCGACTACTTCCTGAATGAGTACGATCGGGTGAAGGAACAGAGCCCAACTGTAATAGGGTTGCCGTAAACCATGTTGATCGTTCGCTTGAAACTCTCAGATGTTTTTCCGCCTCAGAAAGAAGCGCAAGTGCATGTTTCAATCTATCTAATTCTCTTTCAGACACTGAAAAATCAATCAGCATTTCTAGCTACGGTTAGAAATGTAAATTACCAACGAAAATTGCTGTATATAGTAAAGAAATGATATGAAAATTTTCTTCATGCTTAAGAATGCAAGACACAGTCAACCGTTCTAAGAATTACCAACAGCTAATATTGAAACGCAGACAATGCCAAGTTGGACAGAAAAGGATGTGCGCAACAAAACCTGAAAATGAAGCCTGACTCCTGTCTATGTGAAGGAGGTGTATTGTATAGATATTTGACTATATTTCTACACGTAGATTGTAGCAGACAGCACAAAAGACATGTTTAGGCCATTTATAGTAGGCGAATTCTTTAAAAGGGCACTTTTTAATTTTCACCAGTCAAAGTTAATAACAGCCCACTTCTTAAATGTTTCGTAATAGGTCTACTTTATACATCAAATGTCAAATGTACCCGTAACAAAGGAGGCCTTCTCCAATTCATTATCTTATTCACCTCACCCCACCCACTGCACCCCATCTGCCCACCACTGCCGCTTTCTCCCCACCCTTTCCCCAATACGGCACCCAGGAAAGTCTTGCATTTACATTGGTTGAAAATGAATTTAACAATCAGCGCCCAATCTGGAGTCACTCTATTTTCTGGATTTTCATATAAGCTTTTCTTCTTTTCATAGTATGTTTAATTCGATAACACCATTTTTTGAAGGGTTAATAAGAAGAGAACACCATGGTTCTTCACCTCCTTGTAAGATTCGCTTTCTGAGCAGAACAGCTCATTTTCAGTTCAACCTCGCTAAATAGGGACAGCAGTTCCTTCAAGGGATACAGAGACAAAACTTTTTTCGAACCGAAGATGTCTAAAAGCAAAGTTGTTGTTTGAGTACAGAAGCAATGGAGGCAATAAGAAGTTTATGTTCACTCATACACTGCTAATGAATTTGTTAAAAAGATACAAAGAATCCCTAGATAAGTCACATGACAAGCAGTTTTCATCTTTTTATTTTCTTTTGGGTTGTTGGGGGGGGGGGGGGGGGNTTTCAACCACACATTCATCAATAAAATAATATTTTCCATCACATCAATAACTTTTCCTTCATTTTCAACCACAAAAAAGGTGTGATTTGACACAAAGAATGCATTCTTTTCTAGAATAATGGTTACCAAACGGTACCTCAATGAAGATGATTTAATTGACAAGGAATCATTGTTACAAGAAAATACTGCAAGCCCAACACATTTATCTACAACAAAGAATATGCTGCTGGAATGTTTCAAAGGGATCTGGTGTTGAAAATTAGTACATAGTTTTTTATGATGAACTGAAAAGATTCAACACAAGATGTCTAAGTACTAACAGAGTTGAAAAAACTATGGATGAAAGTTAAATCTCTAACCAAGCAACTAATAACTTGAGAGGACCAAGAAGATATCACATTATATATGCCACCCACATGCATCCATAAAGCAGATGCCTTGATGTTTGCAGGAAAAAAAATCTCAAATTAGAGAAACATCACTTACACTTGAGCATTATATTTATGCAAGGAAAAGAAAATTACTGCTACTAAAATTAATACTCTCAACTAAGTGTTCTGTCAGTAGAATTAATTGGCACCTTAGAGAACAAGTACCACAAAGGGACATGAGAGCTACTCTTTATACTTGCTAATATACCACCAACCATCCAGAAGTTGCCAAATTCTTATTTGGCTAGGTGCGCTACCACGTGAAATTTAAATTACAGGGATCAATTTACAACAACGAAACGTAAATTGCAACTTTAATGAAGCATGAAAATGTGGCACTTACAACTTCTCCCTCCAAAGAAAGAATCATTGTTCTTGGCATCGATGTTGGGGTAAGTTCCAGCAATAATATCTACAATAAGGGTCGCCATTTGAGACATTAAAACAATTGGATCAACCCCTGAATCCATCAACTCTCTGGCTCTTTTCACTGTTTCTTTAGTGTTTGATGACATGGCCAATTCCAAAAGGTCCAGTAATTTTTCATCAGAAACTACCCCGATCTGCAGAGAACAAAGCTCATTAAATAAATGCATATGCATCATTCAATGAATAAATAAAATTATTGTTGAAGCATCTCCATTGCAATAAATTAGCTGATAATGCACTCTCATCACTCCATTAGTCAGAGAAGAACTGTAGAGAATGCAAGAAACGATAAAATAATCGTTTTGACCTTTTTGCCATGTGATAATTCTTGTTAAAAGTATGCTGATGCCAACAATTAGCAAAAGATTTTTTTATCAGAACAATAAGTCACTACACGGACATAACAGCATGATCGCTAGTAGGAAAAATCAGTAAGAAAATAAATAAGTAGATTTATAAGCAAGAAATGAAGAATCCATTAGACTCACCAGCTCATTCACCAAGGAAGTTGTGATACTTTTCCCCAATAAACTCAACTGGTCTAACATGGTTTCTGCATCTCGGAGTGAACCATAAGCATTAGAAGCAATCAAATCTAGTGCATCTGATTCAACTTCTAAGTTCTCATCAGCAGCAATTTTTCTCAGCCGGGTAACAATGTCACCATCTCTAATTTTGTTGAACAGGAGCTTCTGACACCGGGACAGTATAGTACGGGGCACATTATCAATATCAGCTGTTATGAGTATGAAAATGACACGTGGCAGTGGTTTCTCAAGAAATCTAAGAAATGCCAGCCACACTGTCGAGGGCAATAAATGACATTCATCAACAACAAAAACCTTATACTGTGAAACAGCCGATGGGCGAAGCACTGAGAGGTTCCTCAAAAGCATTTTAACTTCATCAATTCCCTTCTTATTGGATCCATCAACTTCTCTAAGAAACCCATTCTTGCCAGATATGAAATCAGCACACTCACTGCATACCCCACAGGGCTTAGTCTCTTCAGTGGCAAGACAAGTCAAAGCAGCAGCAAAAATTCTTGCAGTTGAAGTTTTTCCAGTCCCACGGGGACCTTGGAAAAGATAAACAGGGGAAATCCTTCCCCTTGAAATTGCACTCTGGAGGGATTGAATGACTATATTCTGCCCAATCATTTCCTCAAAATATATTGGCCTATATTTCTGGCTTAAGCTTCTCAGATTTTCTGGAGAACTTTCATCATTTACTTTCCCATTCAGAGCTACTAGCTCTAAACCTTCTTGACTCCTACAGCTTGAAGACCACCTCCTTCCATCCAACCGACTCAAAGCCTCCAAATCAAGCTCTCCAAAATTTGTAGAAAGCTCGTCATTGCTGTTCCCACTTCCCATAGATGATCCTCCTTGGCCTTCACCACTGTTGGTAAGCAAAGGAACAATACCTTGAGAGGCAGCTCTTGAACTGAGTCTCCTCTTGTTCGACCCCAAAGATGAATGACGATGCCTTCTTCGGTACATAGTTTGACTTCCACAGAAAATACTGCTTCCTTTCCTCCTCAAAGTGTCGGAAAGAGATGGTGAATAACAGCACCCATATCCACCCCTAGATTTTGGTGTTGACCTTTTTGACCAATAACAAGGAATCCCACATCCCTGTCGCCCCGGCATATCCAACTGATCAATTGCCTCATCGTCTGCATCATTGAAAGATGCTGTGGTGGCATCCCAAGACTCAACAGTGCTCGGATTCCTAATGCCATATTTATTATAAGAACAGGTTGACAATGCGGGGGTACTGTACGAAATAGAATCATCCTCTTTCCGATGACTCCTCAACAACTTCTTCGGTGAATAAACCCAACCCTTATTCTTAAGCCCTGCAAGCAATGGTGAGATCGCAGACACCCTATTTAAATCCTCAGAATTACAATAATCCTCAGTATCATCAGACTGATCAACTAAACTTACCAATTCATCCCTCCCTAAACCCAAACCGGTCAAATCCTCCAATGCCTTTTTTGTGCCTCTACTCATTAAAATCTGCTTTCTTAATTTTTCATTATGATGCTTCAAAATGGAGTTAGAATTAATCTTCCTCTTTGACTTTTTCTTAATTGTGTGCCTGATAGATGATGTAAAATTCACATCTTTACACTTAAAAATAGCTGAAGCATATCTATCACTCAAATGAGTGTCACTCCTTGAATCATTTGCACCACCACCATTCCTTGCATCGCTCAAGCTATCCACATCCACACTTTCTTCCCGGGTCCAAGATGACCCTTCATCCTTACCATTCTCAACATCATCCTCCCCAATCTGCCTACTCCTTCCGCTCTCAGATTTTTGACTCCTCCAATTACACAAAAACACCCTCTTTTCTTTCTCTTTCCCATTCATATTATCATTATTATTAGTAATACGATCATAACTAGTATTATTATTTTCTATTTGCAACTGGTGTTGCGAAAACTGTTCAGAGGAAGAAGCAATGGCATTACCATCAATTGATTCACGGCAGCCATTCTTGTGATGGTGCGCATAGTGGTGCTTGGAAGAGTTCTGAAGGGATCTCACAGAACTAAGCGGAGAACGCCATGAGGAGGTGGTGCCAGGATCCCTTAACACCCGAGCCGCCTTCCGAATTTGTGTCAATTCTTTCTTCAAATGCAGATTGCTTGGATCAATCCCACCACCACCACCCGCCATTCCTCCACCTCCGCCGCCTTGCATTTCTGATGACATCATTTAACTGCAAAACAACAGCAAAATACTACACTACAAACCAATACCAAGTTGTATACTGACAAGAAAAGCAGTGTGTGAAAATTAACAAGCGGGATTTGTTCGATAAATGGCAGATCTGTCAGATTTTTTTTCCCTCTTTAATGCAACACTTATTTTTAACGGCTAAAAAAATGGTGGGCTGAAACCAAAAGTTTACAACTAGCAATCTACATGGTAAAATAACTAGCAGTAGGGTTTTAATGAATGAAGGGGATGGAATGAAATAGGAACAAAGAATGGATTTTTTTGTCAAGAGCGTGGGAACTGTGAAAAGGGAGTGTTAAAATAATTTATTTTTTCGCAGAAATCGAAGAAAATAAATGGAATGCTAAAGTTTTCCCTCCTTGAAGGTTAGACCCGCTTAAGGAGGAAAATTTTGGGGCTTAGGGGGTGGCTCCAAAGATTCTCTTGCAATGAGTGGGGTTTACCTCTTGTTTCTGATTGCTGTCTTCAGTCCCCCCCTCGCCCCCCCGCCCCCTTCCATCATTGCTATAGTGCACCTCCTTTGGATTAGCCTAATCTCATTTATAATCACTTTTTTTTTTCTTTTTTGACTCGACTAAATAAAATATTTTAAAGTTTTCTTGAAATATCCATTGTTTTAAAATGTCATGAAATAATTTATGTGATCATTTAAAAATAAATATTGCTTTTAATATTAGAATAACTTGAACAAAATCGGGTAAGATGCGTAAATGAGGTTCATGATTGTTCAAGCCAACCATGTTCGTGTTCGGGATAGATTTTATTGTGGGTCAGCACGTTTGAAAACGAGAGCTATGTTGCGTTTGGCTCTTTGCGTTCTTTATTTTATTTTTTTCTCAAAAAAGTTAAACTAAGTAAACTAGATTATGCATGGAGTTTGATGTGTTAAGTCATGTCACGCCTTGTTTTTATGGATGTGTCAAGCCAAGGTCCCTCTCGTAACGACAAGTCGAAAATGAGTTCTTTCGTATGTAAGCCTATTAAGTTCGGATTCGAATTGATAGAGCTTTTAAGAAAATGTCCTTTTCGCCACAGCAACTGCCAATCCTATCCTTTCTTTTCCTGTGAAAGTATGTGTACTTTCATGAACTTTTTACTCCCAAACTCGGAAGTGTGAAAACAATGAGGCATTGGGCAGCTGGAAATGGTCCAAAACTAGATTATTGAATATGCAATTAAAATAGTGGGGTCAATTATATGAATGAATTTTTATGTCTCGTAATTGTCTGTTTTCAAATGAAATAAATATCAATCTTCTACAATTCAATATACTTTGGTGTTTTTTTTGAAAAATAAGTGGTTGAAAAGAATTTTTTTTAAATTTACGTGTAAAATTATTTTATGAAAAGAATCTGTTGTTTAAAATGAACTTAGAGAAATGTGAATTTTTATATAACAAGACTCGAACTGAAATTAAATAGGTTGTTGAGGTGCTAAGAACATCTCCAACCCATCCTCATTGCATCATAATTCACCAAAATTTTGGTGCAAGTCTCCTCCAACCCATTGCACCATTTTGCACCAAAACGGTTAAATACATTTTTACCCTTCTCTTCCACTTTGCACCAATTTTTGTTAAGGGTATATTTGTCCATTTTGTTATACAATAAATTTTTCAACCACACATTTTCCATCAATCTACAATTTCAAAATACATTCTTCCAAAATAATGTGAGTCAAACACACCCTAAGTTATCAAATTCATGTACACATGTTTTGGGAACTATTCAATTATTTTAGGAGTAAATAAATTATTCAAATAGATGAACACGTATTTATTTTCAAAATTATTCATTTTATCGTAAATTATTCTAGGTGTATGTAAATTATTAAAGATCATATAATTTGGGAGCTATTCAATTATTATATGAATAGAAAAATTATTCAAATTCATGTACACTTAGTTAATTTTAATATTATTCATTTAATCTATCCATTTTGTTATACAATAAATTTTAATTATTATTATTGTTAAGTGCATTTGTAATAAATTTTAATCATTTAATCAAAAATAATTAATTGTGATTACAATTTCGACTTTGTAATATCATAATATTGCGATTTGAAACGTATTACACTCTTTTTTTAATATTATGATTTAATATTTTCTTCATTTTTGTATTTCTATTAATTGTACTACACTTTTTTTTTAACTTTATTAATGAATTCAATATTTTTGTTAGCTAAACATAATTATTTATTTAATGATTTATCTAGTAATAAAATAAATAAACAAATAATTTTTGAGATAAATAAATTGTTAAGAATTTAAAAAATTGAAGAAAATTATTAAACATTATTCACTTGGTGCAACTTTTGGTGTAACTAGTCACAGACAAATGTGTGTTGCACGTTGTTTCGAAATACTTTATAAACGCGATAAAAGTGATATTTGAAAATCAGCAAATATAAAAAATAGTTAAAAAAAACTGTTTATGTTAAATAAATTTTTCATACAATTCAATTATTTATTTACGTGTTTGATAATAATTAACATTAATTTATATATATCCTACTATAATTCAATCAATTAATTTTTCAAGTTCATGCTTGTACACTTTATATATTTTAGGGGCTGTTCAATTACTTTAAAAACACTATAATTCAATTATTTATACATGTGCATGTATACTAATTAACATTTATTTATGGATATATTAAATATAACATTAAGCCCCTGTTTGGTACACATTAAAATTTTCATTCTCATTTTTCTACTCATTTTTAACCACATGTTCTTCAATAAAATAATGTTTTACATTACATCAATAATTTTTCCTTCTTTTTCAACCACACATTTTCCATCAATCTACAATTTCAAAATACATTCTTCCAAAATAATGTGACTCAAACACACCCTAAGTTATCAAATTCATGTACACATGTTTTGGGAACTATTCAATTATTTTAGGAGTAAATAAATTATTCAAATATATGAACACGTATTTATTTTCAAAATTATTCATTTTATCGTAAATTATTCTAGGGGTATGTAAATTATTAAAGATCATATAATTTGGGAGCTATTCAATTATTATATGAATAGAAAAATTATTCAAATTCATGTACACTTAGTTAATTTTAATATTATTCATTTAATCTATGATATAACATCATTTGTTTAAATGTATATAATTTTTTTTTTATATTCATTTATTCAAATTAATTAAATTTCATGTAGGTTTATGTACACCTCATTTGTTTAAATATATGAATTATTATTTTTCTATGTCTATTAATTCAAATTAATTAAATTTCATGTTGGTTCACTTATACCCCATTTGTTTAAATGTATATACATTATTCTTTTTTTATATTCGTTAATTCAAATTAATTAAATTCCATTTTTCATGAATAGGTTTGATTGTTCTCATACAATTCAATTATTTATTTGCGTGCATGTTTAATAATTCTTATTCAATTAAATGTACATTGAAAAACGAATGTGCATGTTTAATAATTAATATTCAGTTAAATATATATTAAAAAACGAAAAGTGAGATACATTTGAAATAATCAAATTGTGGTAGGGCTAAAATCGTCCAAAAAATTATTCTCACTTGATGCGATAATTAATATATTATAGATGGGTTGGAAATGATTTCCAATTTGATGCAATATTTGGTGTAAAATGGAACGAGATTAGATGCAGAGTTGGAGATGGCCTAACACTTATGTATTTACTAATAATCAAGATTATATTTATTAAATAGAAAAGATTCAATGTTTTAAAATTAAAGAATGTGAAATCGAATTTGTAATAACTAATAAGTGAATATGTGATAATCGGTGCTAAAATTTTAATTAATATAGAATTGGAATATTTTTCTTATTGACTTAGAGTTTGTTCATTCGAAATTCAAAATCTTTATCTAGTTCGAGATGCGTATATGTCATTTTGAAGTTATTTGTTCATTCATAACATACGAATGCTTTCATGAGGTGAATACATTAAGCCCTTGTTTGGTGAGCATTTTTGTGGAAAAACATTGTTTTAAATAGTTGATTTTTTTAGAATGTGTAGTTAAAAAATATGAAAATGTTTAAAATTTACGAGTAAATTATTTTATTGTGTGAATGTGTGGTTGAAAATGAATACATAGAAAAATAATTTTGAAATAATGAAAGACGGAACCAAATAATTGAATTTTTATGTTTATCTTGGTATCAAAACATTGTAGTCATATGTGATTGCAATCATATTACATGTACATCATTTTAAAAAAAAAAAAATTGACATTGTACCACATGACATATACAATTGGACAATTTAAAAAACACACTTTTCCACCTCACAACTTTTTGAACTTCAATGGAATGTATTCAATGATATCTGCCAAACAATGTACACTTAGCATTATTGATGTAGAAGTATATTGTGTGTACAGAAATAAAAATACAGAAATGCAACAGACAAGACACACAGGTGGGGCCCTTTTTCTTTGGGCAATATTTTACTCACATGGGGCCCACCCCATGTGAGTTTTCTGGCACTTCTCTAGCATATTAATTTATGTACAAATGGAACAATTGATTTATGTAATAGTGCAGAAGTACCAACATTTTCAAATAAATTTCCATTAGGCAATTTCAGTTCATAAATTGAAACTTAAGATGTAATACCTAATGGTAGAGGAATAATTTAGTACCGATCCCATTTTTAAAACTCATTTTTTTTCTCATTTATTCTTAATCATAAATTTTATGGAACTCGTAACTTTTATCAACTTTTCAATTATACATTTCATCAATTTTTATCAAAATGCAATAAAAATCTGTTTTTGAGCAAAACAAAACAAAAACTCAATGAGCACCGTGACACGACATATCAATTTATTTGTGGATAAACTTTATGACGGATCTCAATATTTGAAGTATGCCATTCTCCAATGAATTAATATGATAAGTCATCCGTGACTAATATAAAATGAACACAATACTCATTAAATCATTTAAAAGGC